TTTATTCAATGGCCAGAGAATGGAGAAGCCTGATTACTTTTTGCTTTAGAAGGTTTTTCTGGTGGTAACCATGCAGATTGTCAACGATGACGCTGGTAGATGTGCTACCTAGCATGCTAATAAGGGTATACTGAGCTGGAACTTTGGGCAGTTGTTGTTCCAGGCGCCATCTTAGTTCTGACTAGTTCAGGCTGGGTTTTTTTGAGGAGGCCTCATCTTAACTACCGACATATGTGCTGCTTTCTAAAAGAAAGAAAAACACTATTAGGGAGGAGCTGGGGTCTGATGAGACCATGGGCTATATGGTGAGTGAAAAGACACCTTTGGGGAGTGGCTGGGGGGGGTGGTATAAACATGGACTATGTGGTGGGTGACATGACTGCTCAGGTGAGAGTGATCCACTGATGACAAAGGAGAGGACCAGCTGTGAATTCATGCAACAAATATTAGGTAAATGAGAGTTATACCATAGTTTTTCAGATTAAAGCAATAAGCTTAAAGGTCTCCTATTTTCTTCCTGCACAATGTGGGTACATGCAGCCAACTTCGGGCTTTGGGCATCAAAGAAAGTCATCAGGTGGTTTTACTTAGAGGAAAGGCATGATCAGATCTATGGCTTCCAAACACCGGTCACGAGTAAAGGATGAGTGAGTGGGCCAGAAAGGAAGCTGGAGTTTTACAGGAAGAGGCTCAGGACCAAGTTAGAGCAGCAGAGGGGCAGAGGAGGAAGGAATGGGCTGGAGAGATATTTTAGAGATTATCTTTTCAGATGTTTGGATGCAGGAAGTGAGGAAACAAATCTAGAGGTGGCTAGGAAGAGGATAATGCCCTTCCCTGAGCCTGGAAAGAAGAGGGCAGATTTATGATATTCTGAGTTCAGTTTCGGATGATATGAGCTTCTGCCCCTGCGTGGTGTAAAGGCGGAATTCTGCACCATTGGGAGTGAATACCTAGGCAAGTCGAAGCAAAGCCATTTCCTTCCAAGCTTTAGTTTTCAGTCCTCTAATCCCTAGGCTCTTTGTCTCTTACAAAGTCATTAATTTCTCTGAAAGTGAGAATTCACCCCTGGGAAGGAATGCCACACCAAGTCCATTCTCCTCTTGGGATTTTGGGCACATGTGCACATGTGCTGGGCTTGATTTTCAAGTCTCTGGGTCCAGGACTCAAACCATGGTTGGCCATGTTGGGGTCCTGAGGCCCAACCACCACGCCACCAGTTGGCCCATGTAGGTTAGTTTTAAACAGACTGGGAAATACGGTTTCCAAGTTTAAATGTGCAGATAAGACAGTGTGTAGGTGGCATAGCTACACCATTTCTGAATGAATGAATGAATGAATGAATGAATGAAAGGAAGGAAGGAAGGAACCACTGACACTGCCTTGGAGCTGAGCAACTCATACAGTTACTTCCAACTGATAGCAAATTTTTAATTCCCCAAAGTGGGATCTTTGGTTATTCAAAGTCAGGGAGCCAACTTACAAGAAAGATACTGTCTGCGGCACAAGTTTTATTCAATGGCCAGAGAATGGAGAAGCCTGATTACTTTTTGCTTTAGAAGGTTTTTCTGGTGGTAACCATGCAGATTGTCAACGATGACGCTGGTAGATGTGCTACCTAGCATGCTAATAAGGGTATACTGAGCTGGAACTTTGGGCAGTTGTTGTTCCAGGCGCCATCTTAGTTCTGACTAGTTCAGGCTGGGTTTTTTTGAGGAGGCCTCATCTTAACTACCGACATATGTGCTGCTTTCTAAAAGAAAGAAAAACACTATTAGGGAGGAGCTGGGGTCTGATGAGACCATGGGCTATATGGTGAGTGAAAAGACACCTTTGGGGAGTGGCTGGGGGGGGTGGTATAAACATGGACTATGTGGTGGGTGACATGACTGCTCAGGTGAGAGTGATCCACTGATGACAAAGGAGAGGACCAGCTGTGAATTCATGCAACAAATATTAGGTAAATGAGAGTTATACCATAGTTTTTCAGATTAAAGCAATAAGCTTAAAGGTCTCCTATTTTCTTCCTGCACAATGTGGGTACATGCAGCCAACTTCGGGCTTTGGGCATCAAAGAAAGTCATCAGGTGGTTTTACTTAGAGGAAAGGCATGATCAGATCTATGGCTTCCAAACACCGGTCACGAGTAAAGGATGAGTGAGTGGGCCAGAAAGGAAGCTGGAGGCAAACAGGAAGAGGCTCAGGACCAAGTTAGAGCAGCAGAGGGGCAGAGGAGGAAGGAATGGGCTGGAGAGATATTTTAGAGATTATCTTTTCAGATGTTTGGATGCAGGAAGTGAGGAAACAAATCTAGAGGTGGCTAGGAAGAGGATAATGCCCTTCCCTGAGCCTGGAAAGAAGAGGGCAGATTTATGATATTCTGAGTTCAGTTTCGGATGATATGAGCTTCTGCCCCTGCGTGGTGTAAAGGCGGAATTCTGCACCATTGGGAGTGAATACCTAGGCAAGTCGAAGCAAAGCCATTTCCTTCCAAGCTTTAGTTTTCAGTCCTCTAATCCCTAGGCTCTTTGTCTCTTACAAAGTCATTAATTTCTCTGAGACTCTGAGGAAAGCCATGGGCCCCCATTTAGGAAAAAAAAAAATGTACACACTCCAATATAAAATTGTTCATACACTTTATGGGGCCCACAGTCCCCAGAAATTTATCCACAATTCTGCAGGGGGGCTGTGCTCTAACTTGCTCCCTTGATGGCCTTGAAACCTGGCCTATTTCTCTGTCTATATGCCATTCTTTTGAGTCAGAGATAATTTGCTAACTGTAAGTCACTTCCTATTTTAGAAATCCTGATGACTTACAGTCAAATGCTTTATGTTCATCATGCTGATTGAAGAGTTGTAATTTTAATGCTAGATGAGAGGTGGAAGAATGGAGAACAGGGAGGAGGTCCATTTAGAGACTTTGTGATTCCTCTAGGCAAGCATTCATATGGCTCAGAGGATGGGATGCAACGGGATGCACACAGAACACTCTGCAAATGGTTCTTGCCTCATTGAACCAGAATCTGGTAAGATGTATAGAAGGACAACCACAAGGAAACAAATGAGATATTCAACAGACAAATGACTTGATTGCTCTAACAAATAAATAACATGACTGACAAATAAATAAACATTGCAGTGACCCAAGCAGTAAGTACCAGTGTGTGATGTGGGGTTTTATGGGAAATACTGGGCTTGGATCCCCAGATGACCTAACTTGAAGGGTGTACCCATGTTCCTGGCTGGGTGGAAAGGTGGTGGTAAGGATTGTGGTGTGATGAGATTCTGTGTTATCTTTCTCTGTGCCTTTCCTCAAGAAATTAAAAAAAGCTTAAAAAATTGAAAAGGAAATGTTACAGAATAAAAGCACTTTATGGACTGAGGTATGTGTCACACTGGGCAAGGTCTCTTTACAATCTAAATGATTAAAAGCATAAATAATCAAAATTAATAAATAAAAATTATTTTTAAAAAGAATACAAGCACCTTAAGGAACATTAACAAGCAAAAAAAAGACTTTGTTTTGTAGAGTGGATAATCTGAGAAATTAGAATACATACTTGGGATCTGGATGATATTGAAGATAAGAGACATTAAAGATATAAAAATAAGTTAGCTAGGTATAATAATGGTAGTTCTATTTAAAAATTCTTATCAATTATAGAGATGTTCACTGAAGTGTTTGTGGCTATGAAATACTGGGGATTCCCTTTCAAATAATCCACCCACCCAAAGGAGGAAGGATAGAAGAAATGAATTCCTCAAAATATTGATAATTGTTGAAACTGGAAGATGTGTGTATCATTATACTATTTCCTACTTTACTGGAGGTTAAAATTTTTCATGAATTAAAAAAAACTTACAAATGATTCTTTAAGAGTGGTCCTAAAATCTAGCTGATCATCAGATTCACTTGAGCCGTTTTAAAAAAATAGACTCTCTAGGGCCAGCAGGTGGCACAGTGGTTAAGGTGCTTGACTCCCACATGATAACTACGGTTTGAATCCTAGACCTGGAGCTTGAAAATCATGCCAGATGCTTATGTGTGCATGTCCTAAAGCCCATGAGAGTAGAGATGGGATTGAGGTGTGGTCATTCCCCCCCCGGGGGGGGTGATTTCTCACTTTCTCACTATCTCTATCAAGCGCATGTGCCCTATAACAAAAACCTTAAAAAAAAAAAAAAAAAAAAAAAGAGTCTGGGCGCTCACAGCCCTGAATCAGTCCTCTAGGTACATATGTACTGAACGGAAGGAAGAGCAAAAGCATGGGTGTGGGTGGAAGTATGTGACATTGCATGATTTCCTAGTTCCAGTGAACTCACAGTCATCTCTTCTGTGTCTGTTGCAGGAGCTCTTACACCAGCCACCCTTCCCCACTGCCTCTCTCTTTTCTGTCTCTCACTCCTCATCCCTTATTTTTCCTTCCCCCACTTAATGTAAGCTCTGGGTAGGAACTTTGGAGACTCACAGGTCCTAGCATCTCTTCTGAGCAGGACTTTCTTGCTCCCATCTGGCCTCAGGGTTCTCATTGTTCATTGTTACATGTAAGGCCTGGGCTTGAGTACAAGGCACTCCCCTCATGAGAGTATTTTTAAAAATTTTAAAAAGTTACCTTATTATCCATGGATGAGAAAGCTATGCACTGCCCAGGTGTATGTAAAAATAAAGTTATCTGGGAAGCACCGTCGTTTTATTTTGGAGAGGTTTTTGCTATAGGGCACATGCGCTCGCCAGAGAGACAGACAGAGAGAGACAGAAAGTGAGAAATCACCCCCGGGGCGGGGGTGGATGGCCACTTCTCCTCCATTCTCCTCTCGGGATCTTGGGCATGCACGCACACGCGCCCAGCGTGAGTTTAAGCCACCGGGTCCAGGCCTTGAAGTCGACTACATGGGAGTTCAATGACATAGCCATTATGCTAACCGCTGGTCCCAAGAAGCATAGTCTTAATATTTAAGCTTATTTATTTCTTTCAGCACTCATCAACAGAAAAACACCAAAATTTGTTCTTAAATAATTTATTTTTTATATTGACTCTTGAGAAAAGTTATATTTATTTAGGAAAACAAAGATTCTAAGAAGAACTAAATGTGCAAATTTCAAATATATTCTATAATAAGTATAAATAATTTTGTTTTTCACATTAAGAATGAAAATATTGATAAACACAAAATATTATGATATCAACTTTAAAAGAACTAGAAGCAAACACTGAAGGTCATTTGACATCTTCAGAAAGAAATTAGAAAGATCAGGAAGAAAGACTTACAGAGCTGTCAGCGGAAAACATGTCCGATAATAAAAGTAAAGGCTAGATAGAATTACAGATCACAAATATTTTCAGGTCCACATCCAGACCCAAAAATAAGTAGCCTTTACCTCTCACTCCTTTTTTTCTAGAGCAAGTATGACAGAAATACAAAGCCCAGAGAAAAAACTATAGGCCAATGACAGAAGGAAATTCCCCCCAACCTAAGGTTACTGAGTTTTGCTGTCCCAGTGCCGGCATGTCACTGGATGCAAGGTCACTGCCTGGCAACCAAGGACACAGCATTAACTCAGCAAACAAAACCATCATGAAAGGCCACCATTCCCCTGGGACCTTCCCCATCTTGTCCTATTTCTTCTCTATCTTATCTCCAAGCAGTTAAGATACTCAAAGGCATCTGCAGAAGACAGAGGACAGTGTCATATTGCAAGACTGGAGTTCTTAAGCAGCAGCATGAGCTCTTAATGAATGGACTCCATGCAATTCCTTCTTTCCTAGAGAGGCAAAGTATCGTAGAGGCTCACTCTCCACTCAGGTCAGGAACTTGCCTGGTTCCATACCATAACTCAAAGCAAATACGTTACCTCAACAAGACACTGCAGGTTTTTCCCAGAGGAAAAGAAACATCTTCATTTAAATAACCTTGAAGTTTGTAATAAAATAAATAAAGTGAATTTAGTCACAAACTGGAGCTCCCTTTAAAAAGGCAGCTAGTTGAGTTCATATGAGCTGTGTATATAAATGGTTTCCAAATAGTAACCAGAAAATAGGTTATTATTATCCAGTCTTCCTATTTATACCTCTAAGGCAGCATATCAAAATTAAAAAAAAATCCCTCATACATAATATAAGGGTATATTATATATGTACATACTTTTACACACACCTCCGGTCAAGTTAACCTCTTTAAAAGTGAAGACAGTGATAACCAAAAGAATCACACGTCTTGCCACCCAAATATTCTGATTTTTCAAAGGTGCGTATTGTGAAGAGCAGCTTGTTTTCTTTTCCATACGAACATGATCAGTCTCAGCAGCCTCAGAATCACAGTCCATGGATGGTTCTGCTTCTCTGCCGGAGCCCCAGGACAGGGACTGGGCAGGTAGGGGAACACCGTTCCCTATAGACACTCTCTGAGTATGTCCATTTTCCCTGAGCTTCCTTTCAGTTTCTTGCGGAGGGCCCTTGTGCCAGGGTGATTCAGCTTCATCTCTGAGAAATGCAGGTGGAGGGCAGGTGGAGTGGCTCTGGGTTTGCCAGCCCGCCTGACTGTGTCAGTATTCAGCCTTTTCTCGCAAGGACATGAAGCAGCCCTGGCAGATAGGGTGAGGGGCTATGGCCAGTCCTAGCATACATTCCGAGTCCAAAGAAGCTCCCAGCCTTCTGGCTGGAAGGAAAGGGGAAGTGCCCTGGCTGAATCTGACTTCATCCATCGCCAGTCACAAGCTTTGCTCTCAGACCACCAGGGAACATTCCCCTGTTACCAAACTCGACTGTCACAGGCGTGACGAAGAGCTTATCTTTCTTCCCCTGTTCAAGGCACTCTGGAGCCTACTGCTGCAGCAACTGCTCCTCTAGGCACTGAGGGTTCCGAGTATAGCACCACATTAGCTGGCGGCTTGAGGGCCCCCTTGCCAGGCTGGCCTGCCTCTTTCTGCTTAGCCATACATCTGCTTAAACTGAAAGCACTCATTGCAGTAGCCATTACACTTGGCGTTGCCAAAGTGGTCGCAGGCAGGGGCCCGGCAGCGCTGTTTAGGGGGTTCTTCAGGAGCAGCCTCACCCCGATGGGCCCCTGGACCCACCCGCTGGCTGAGGTGCTGGCACTCCATGCAGAGTTCTTCACTGCGGCAGGCCAGGATGTTCTTGCAGGAGGCCCGGGTGCACTTGGGCCTTGAGGCACTCTGGGTGGTCCGCGGCATGTCTCTGCGTTGGCTTGATCTCTAAAGGGGAAGAACAAACAGAACTGTTGCTCACTTTTCTCAGGGAGAGCAAGCACAATATGGTCTCACTTGATAGCGTGGGTTTATCCGCCTGAGTGAAGGAACAGGAGTGCTCCTGTGTGCAGCACTAACACTATCTCAATAGCCAAATACAGAATCAACCTAGGTTTCCCAAGACAGGTGAGTGGATAAAGAAAATGTGGTAAATATACACAGCGGAGTATTATTTGGCCACACAAAAAAAGAATGTATTCCTTTCACTTGAGGCAACACAGATGAGACTGGAGGACATTCTGTTAAGTGAGATAAGCCAGGCATAGAAAGTCACATACCACATGTTCTCACTCCTATTTAGAGGCTGACAAAGTTGATCCCATGGAAAGAGAGAATAATCTAGTGGTGACTAGAGTTGAGGGGAGGGAAGGATAGAGAGCACTTAGTCAATAGGTACAAAAGCACAGTGAGATAGAAGATTAAGTTCTAGGGTTCTATAGCACAGTAGGGTGGTCATGGCAGTTAACAATAATGTATTATGTATTTCAAATCTGCTAGAAGAGGAGTGGAGGTGTTGCCAATACAAAGAAATGATAAATATTTGAGGTGACAGATAGGCTAATCACCCTGTTTTTATTTTTTTTGGAGAGATTTTCGCTATAGGGCGCGTGCGCTCGCCAGACAGACAGACAGAGAGAGACATAGAGACAGAAAGCGAGAAATCACCCCCCAGGGGGGATGGTCACGCTGCAATCCCTTCTCCTCCATTCTCCTCTCGGGATCTTGGGCATGCACGCACACGCGCCCGGCATGAGTTTTAAGCCACCGGGTCGGGGACACGAACCACGGTCAACTACGTGGGAGTCCAGCGACATAGCCATTACGCTAACTGCTGGTTCGCACCCTGTTTTGATCATTATATACTGTATCAAAATATTACTCTGTAACCCATAAATACATACAACTATTATGTGTCAATTTAAAAAACCAAACGGGTGTGCACGTGCAGTCTACAAGTCAGAACGCTCCAAGGATGTTTCCTTTCAATTCTGACGTGGAGGCTCAGGTGCTCTTCTACTGGGTTTAATCATCCGCCACACTTATTTAGACAGTTTCCCTACTATTCTATAGGCAACAGACATTTGCTTTCCTTAGGTGCCATTAAGTGGAGGCATCTGGGATGCCCTGCCTTCTGTCTCCTTACAATGCAGGATTATTGAAGAAAGTCTGCTGTGAGATGTCTGTGCATCTACTAAAAGCACAAGAAGTCTCTGATGACCACCTGGCTTTTTGGAGGTTTGAACAGATTTTACTCTACGGTTGATTATTTGCTTTTTAAAATGAATTATAAAGTATACTTAGGCAAGGAAAACCAATAGCAGTTCTTCCACCTGGGGAGCCACAATGACATGGACTCTTTCCGCAGGCTCTTCT